CCGGATAGACTTGTCGATAGCATTGCGGCATGTCGAAAGAGAATCGTATAGGTCTTTCGAGTCGACAGCGATAACCAAATTAACCTCGACATCAAGCAGATTGCGGCACGATTGAACGAGTGCTTTTCCTTCATCAATCGCTATTCCCGCAGCAAGTGTTTCAGCTGCTCCAACAGACTTCGTCGGACGTTTATATTTTTGAGAAGCCCAGGTCAGTGTGTGAAACACAGCATCTTTTTCAATTTTTCCAATAACTAGTCCACCTATGTACGCAAGCTGTCCATTAGAGTTTGCTCTGGCAGCATCAGAGAACACCAGAACGTTTAGAAGGTATTCGCCTTTGTTTATGGGGCGCTTCAGTGCAATTGTAGAGCCTAGTCGATGTAGCTGACGGAGCATGTTGTTCTGGAGTACAATATCTTTGACCAGGGTATCAGCACGACGCTGCTGAAGGTAACTGGTTGCGAAGGCACAAAAGGGGCTGGCTGCAGTGCCTATAAAGCCTAGAGATCCATTCATAGAGCTGAAAGAAAAGCTTTCAACAGCATTCAGACATTCTTCCAATTCATTGCGGCGAGGACGAGATAAAGGGTACTGCTGGAGAGCAAGGAGCTTTTCATTGCCGGACACTTCAATGTGACCTTCATCATCTTGACTGATCGTTGGTCCAAAGAAATTAAATGATCCGGGTCCCTTAACGATTGTTCCGACCTTGTACCTGTCCGAAACTTGGTCCACAAAAGTATCCAGGTGAACCGTGAACGCTGCAATCAGAATATCGTCCACAACCTTGACTGCTAGCATCTGTAGCTGACCCTTTGTCTTTTTGTAGAATAGCTGTGGTACATGGACCAGTTGTAAAAATCCGAGATCTCGGAGGAAAGTATCACTGTGTTCTTGCCACTTGGCATTGGCATTCACTAGCCCATACGCAGCCGTCAACAAAAGCCAATAAAATACTCGCTTCCCACATTCGCGCGGGGGAACGACGTAGACATCACGGAGAGCTGACCCTGTCTGCAGGAATGCAGATTTGATATCTACCTTTGCTAGAGACCATTGGTATATGACACAAATAGAAAGGAGGATCCTGAATCCAAGCGGAGGGCAAGTCTGCGCGTCAGTCTTGAGGAGGGGTTTATCTCTGTCCTTATTTCCCTGCTGTGCAATGCGAGCCTTGCACAGGAGCGAGTCATCATGGAGCGATTTGGTCTTGTACAGTACATGACTCGTGATGACATTAGAGTCTAAAGGGACTTTGGATACGTGAACTTCTTTGACAGCCTTTTTAAAGCTTTCCTCTTCCTTCTGATAGGCATTGGTAGTAATGAAGGCAGTCCTTCGGACTGGTTTAGGAGAAATTCTTTGTGCTGAAACCGATTAAAGTACAGTTGGGCAACATCCTTCTCCTGTGTTGTCAATTTTGTACCAGGAGATAGCTCAACTTGATGAGAGCTAAGCGCAGCGCTCTGACGAGTTTCCATTGGGTGGATGCTGGTAGCTGGGTCGGATAGACGTTCATCACGGGGGGTAGCAGTTTGGGGTGGGACATAAAGAAGGGCATCTTCTTAGTTTTGCCCATGCGTGGGCACAGACACATCAAAAATTCCCAACGAGTCAACATCCTGTTCATGCTGAGGATCAGGGGACTGGGTAGTCACTGCAGTCCATCGCATGGCTGTATTAGTATAGCTTTCACTGGGTATATGATCAATTGCAGCACTGACGGATTGCTCTAGTTCATCAAGTGAATCTTGGACGGCAGCAGCAAGAGCACTCTCGGAGAGGGCATGTCTAATATCTTCGAGAGCAGCACGCCTTTGCTTGCCATTTTTGCCAGCGACAGTGACGGTGCGAGACGGGTGGTCATACGCCAGGACAGGCTTGGAGGAAGACCACGCTCCACGTTTCTGATTTTGTTCTTTCACATATATCTGGACGAGGTCACCAACTTGTACGGGGACGTCCTTTACAGCCTTCGACCTCAGGATCAGTGTTAGTTTACGCTTGGCGAGAAGTGCCTCGTGTGCAGTCAGGATATCGGGGGGCACAGTAACGGGGAACTGATCAGCGGTTACAGTACGCGTGTAGCCTTTTGCAAGTTCGTGCGCGGACATGACATCACTTCCATACAGATCGTTGGAGATGCGCAGAGCCTGCACAATTAAGAGCTCATCACGCATGTCATTAGTATCCGTATGAGCAGCTCGAAGTTGCAGATATATATCTCGGATCACCCTGTGCTTGGATTCAAGGGCATTCTTGTTGTGACGACGTGGGGGAATGGGTCGTGTGACAACCCCAAGCTTCTTAAGGTAGCCTTCAAACTCAATGTTGCGAAAGGCTGGATCATAGAGAACAGTGTGAGGAGTCCAGAACGGAGTAATCCAGTTGGACTCAAACGCGATGACGGAGGTTTCCATTTTGGTATCGGAGACCACAGCTCCGGCAGAGTAGCGTGATACAGAATCCATAATGTGGAACACTTTGTGCTGGCCAAGGAATAGATGATCAACACAAACGACTTGGTTAAACTCCCTTGACATAGCACTGAGAGAAACCGGGCGCTGTCCTTGAGGTTCTTGAATTGCTGTACAGCTTTCACACGAGTCAAGGATTGTTGATAGATATTTCTTGACATCACTGTTCCAGATATTGTTTCTCTGCAAGAGAAGCTTACTATCATTATAATTCGAGTGTCCACAGACGTGGTGGTGGACCTTGTCTACAATAGCCTTGAGTTCCCCCCATGGGCGGTTGGTCATTTTATTGACGTGTAGAGTAGCACAGTATTTGCGTCGAAGGGTATCAGTATCATTCCAGTCTATTCTGGAAGTAGCGAAGGTCTGAAAGGGTATGTAGCTGTGGAACCCATGAACAGCGAGAGATATGGTGCGCGTTTCAGAACCGGGAAGGACAAGAGCGTTCTTTCCAATGTGTTGTATTTTGCAATGTCGGGTAACGTTGCGACCGACAACCCACTGGGAGGAGCCTTCAATGATCAAATGACGAATGGTTACAGTAGACCCTTGATCAGTGATAGAATTTAGAACAACGGAGCCAATTATCTTACGAGACTGGCATGAGTGCTCTCCAGAACCGTACTGCCAGTACGGAAATCTGGACACAGTATCAGGGAGCTCTTCATATATTCCATTCCACGACGGTAGCAGAGTTTTAAAAAGTAAGGCGAATTCCTTCTCACCCATGCCACTATAGGGTGCCCCGTCGTCCAGGAGGGGTCCGTCGGACGAGGCTGAGTTAAATGTATCAGTGTGCGTATCAGCAGTCAGCTTATCCATGTTGAAAGTGACAGACTTGGAGGGCTTTTTATCGGAGTACCCATGGTCGTTACCTGATGAATAACCCTTTTTATGGGGACTGTATTTACCATCTGGACCGTGATCTGCCTCCCAGTGTCCTTTTTCATGACATTTGCGACAGGTACTCTTAGATTTGAGATCGGCAAGCTGCTCAGGCGTCAAACGTTTGCGCTGGGCACGGTGCGGGGTCCTGGCGGAGTTAGCACGAAGTGGGGTTTTAAAGATGGTATCAGTGGACGAACTTCCTTTCGGCTTGTCACATTGACGAACGACTGTGGCCACAGTATTGTAATTAATGGCCTTTAAAAGGTCATCAGTGGAGTCTCCGGAATCATACTCCCCAGAACGGGGCGAAGTGGTAGCTAGAACAGAGACACGTTGACTACTGTCAACATTAGAGTTGGCCAATAGCATGAAGCTTACTAGAGCATCCGGTAGCTGTACTGTAGTAGACTGTGCGTTGAACTTCGATACTTGAGCTTCAAAACGAGACTCAAAGTTCAGGAAAGTCTCTGAATGACCACGTTTGTTGCTGAGAACCTGCAAAAATAGCTGGTAAACGTTGCTGACTACAGCAAGTGGATCTCGTTTGTAGACAGCATTAAAGATAGCATCTACGCCATCTACAGATTGGACTGTGACAGAGGGTATCTTCTTGGAGAGGTCCAGAGCCCTTCCGTACAGCTGTGATTGTAGCATAATTCCTTGAAGCTCAGCGGGTACTTCGTTGCTGTTGGTGACGGGTAGCTTATCATGAAATGATTTCCAAAGATTCACAGCTTTTCTGTAGGGTTCTTGATCCCCTCTTCTATCCGTGCAGGGAACATTGCGGTAGTCCCAAGAGTATCTTGGTCGTGAGAGCAAGTCTGGGCCCATAACAATAAAAGATTGGGAACTGTTTTTGAATCAATGATCGTCAGGTATCGAGACGTTTACTGTGGTCTTGGATCGTTCAGGTTGGTTGTTCCGTGTTCGGCTGGTTGCTCTACTGCTAAGTGGTCACGTACTTATAGAGAGAGAGTGTATTGTGGCATCTGTGAATTGCTTCCATTATCTTAGCACACTGTCGGTGAATTGCATTCGAGTGCAGACAAAAAATCACCACTTCGGCCTTCTTCAAGTGACCCACCGATAATCGCGATCAACCATCCAAATCGAGACCCCCCATGCCTTCCTAGGGTCCCTGTAGCCCATCTCCATCATGGAGATGTAACGTGTAAGTCGTGGCTACCATTGTCTAAAGTCGTTTCTTCATGAAGAATCATGAAGTTTCTTAGTTTCTGCATGAATAAACAAGCAAAAAGCAAAAATGAAAAAACAACCCGAAATCGCGGGCACATAGATGGTGCATTCAAAGCCTACCAATAGCTAGACGGGCCAGGGCCCAAAGTCTTTCAGTGAGCTTGTTGTTTTTTCTTACAATCATATGATTTTCACTGTTTGCATGTCAACCTTCTCTGAGAATCTCTTTTCTCATTGCAGTCGCTTGTCATTTGCGGGACACGAAATAAAGTTTCTCATTGCGTGAAAAAAGAGGCAAGCCTGCTGTCTGCTTTTTATTGATAACTGCAGTGTGAAGGTTTCCTGCTTTTACTACTGTTAGAATTGATTAAATTGGGTTTTTTGAACAACACTTATTCTCGGTCAAGATCAAGCGGGACCTCTCCAAAAATCTCCTCAGAAGAGAATGTTGATCCTCTCAACCTCAGACGGCTGAACGGCACCCTCGCTATCCGCAGCAACCACGTCAGACGGGTTGCTGGACACCACCACAAGGTCGCTTCCGTCATCGAATGTAACGGTGGAGAGCTCGATGAAAGCGAAAGCGACAGTCGGGATGTTGCTCTGACCGGTGGCTGACAAGGTACCGGTGATCCTGATGCGGCTGTCGACGACGCTCTCGAGGATCTCCTCGACGGCGCTGGATTTCGTTTCGAAGTTCTCGATGCTCCTGGCAGCCTCGGCGATCTGCTCGGTACTGATGCTCTCAGCGAAGTTCAGGCCCAAGAGCTCAAAGATGGGAAGGTTGAGGGAGCCGTCGAAATTGCTGACGAGCTCTTCGAACTGAACGCGCTCCTCGGCGGTGAGAGTCTCGACGAAGGAGGAGCTCATGCTGTTGATGGTCTCAGCATCGATGGCGGTGACGGTAACGTCGAAATTTAGGGTGGCGTTGGCGCCTCGGACAACACTGACGCCGACCCTGGTGATACGGCCGAAGCCGGTGGTGGTCTCGGTGACGGCGAATTCACTGGTCTCGGACTGGCGGGTGATGGGGACGAGGTTTTTGACGACGTTGACGATGCGGCGGGGGGCGGCGCCGGCGAGGGCGGCGGAGAAGAAGAGGGCGAGGCACGCGATAAACTTTGCGGAGACCATATTGGGAAATGGGGTTAGTGCGATTAAGTGGGGGGAAGGCGATGTGTTTGTTGGTTGAAGTTGTGAGTGATGGTGTGGGGGAGATGCTGGGATGCGGATCGGGTTTTGTCGTTTTATAGGTTTAGGAGGACAGAGTTGTCCTTCGCGGAGGTGTATCGAAAAGAATGCTCTGTGGATGCTTATTACAAAGCCGTATGAGGCTTTTCGTGTTCAGAAAGATGATATTGAGCAGCTTTGTCGACGTCGCAAGAGAGCTGTGAACGTTTACAACTCACGCAAGACTGGGAAAGCAACAGCAGATTTCTACAGACTGACCTATGTACACGCGTGATACTGCCTTCCGAGACATTTTGAAGTCCATAGGTGTAGTTTAGAGNNCAATTTTGTGTAAAAGGGGGGCCCCCCGGGGGGGGAGCGGGTGGGGGGGGGGGGGGGGGGGGGGGGGGGTGCACAGTATATGTAGTAGCGAAATCCAACACAATGAAACATGACAAAGAGAGAATAATTTGATCGCACTGTCACAATCTCCGGGGCAAGTCGTAGCTGGTACGATCGGCGCATGCCTTGTCAAATGTGATCGTCACGATTGGTTTGTATACTACTTAGTATAAGGTGAGGATTCATGGCAAACAGGTACAAGGCGGATGTGAAGCGGACGATTTGCGATGCGGGTTCCACAAGACAAAGAAGATGACGTCGCCCCTGTAATACCAGTACAGTAGTTTTTCGGAAGATTGCGAGAACTGGGCATGATCCTCATGCCCAGATGCCAATATCACTACAATCTCACGACACATGCCAGGACCTTGTGCGTGGCGTTTGGCGAAATTGTGTGCATGTGTGTGTCGCGCTGGCACTGTCGCAATGTGCTGATATGAACGCAGGTTGTCCCCTGGCGCATATTGTGCCAGAACATTTTTTTTTGTTAGCCTTGAGACAAAACACTGCTGTACAAAGCTCGGCATTGCTGGCAGGTACTGCTGTTGATGCGCATGGAGGAATTGCTGGTCTGTCACCCACTCTTGGCGACTAACCTTCTTGGGCGACGAAGCTTTCTCATGGAATCCTTTGCCCATTTGATCAAATTAGCCGTTTGCGTTCTGGGCAACGATGTCACGAGTGTCCCTCGGAAAATGTCCCTCGTGGCATCGTTGAGCGATGTTGTCTTGACTTGTTAACATGCATGTTAGCAAGTCAGGACAACATCGCTCTTAAGAAGAGTTTCGACGCACCCATCCGAAGTCCCGGCATAAGCAGCACTGGGAATAGGAGGCTCTCAGCGCCAGGCAGTGACGGTCCCGCTCATCAGCGACAATAAAGATAGTAGCACGGAAAAAGGCTTTATGTACATTCGTATTCTCAAGGAAATGAGCACACTGTTCAGCGGGAAGTGTGCTTTATACAATAACCCTACTGTGCGGAAGAATGCTAACGTCTTGTTGCTGTCATTGGTTTCAACCATGCATAAAATTGTTGTGATCCATGGAGAAGGCGTGGTCGGAGCTTTAAAGTGTATATTAAATTTGGCTCTCTGAACTGACTGCCTTGAGGTGTTCAGGACGAACTGCACACTAGTCTGCTACACGCTACTGTACTGCAGGTAAAAAACCTCTTCGTCGATACACGAACGTGAACAGGGGCGTGGCAGCTCGTCGAATGGCCTTCTCTCAGGAGCCAGCAATGACATGGTCTCGCCCGCTACAGTGCCACGGTCGTGGTCGTGTCCACCTCGGAAGGCACAGGCGAATAGCTGCGCGGCACAGCCCACTGTCCCGGAGACATCCCATGCCACTACAAAATAATTGCAATTCTTTCTTATCTCTTACACAAGCATGTGGTACGTACAGAATCACGGCTAGGATTTGTGCACTACAGTCAACCACACCGAGTAGTGCACCCCCATGCAAGGTTCCAACAACATGCAATACTCGCATCTTGCACTAATGAATGGGGTCACACAAAATACTCGTTTACAAGCGTCTGGCGCCTCTCGGAACGACTCTGCTCAGCATGTGCAGTTAGCAACGCGCGCTTTGCACGGTGCAAATGACGAACTGCATCCTCGATACCCGAATTGTTCACCATTTCCTCCACTCCCGTAGAGCAGGCAATTACTTCCTCAAAACCTGGATTAACACACTCATTTGATTCTATCCCTTTGGCTCCGTCTGCACTCGTCTTTTCATGCTGTGTGGTGGATGTGTCGGTGCCCTTGCGTGTCACTGGAGTAAGACGGAGAGGATCTGTGAGGTCTGTTGGAAAGGATGATCCGTTTACCGTTGGGCATCTTCGTCGGCCGCGTCCCCGTCTTGGACAGGTGTCTAACAGCAATGCAAGGTATGATAACCTCTGTTCACCGAAAAACCCCTCCATTACAATCACGCAATCACGCGATCACGACATTAATTTAACGTCGTTCTGCATCGTTCCTTTCTCAAACGTGTGCTACTTGTAGCTGTAAGCACATTTCCACGGCTCTGGAAGGGCAAAGGTTTCAATGGAGGTAATGATGGCACGGCAAAGAGAGTAGATCGGATCTACTAGATCCTGCTTCTGGCTTTCCCACATGTGCAACCCTGGGTTGCACAAGCAGCGCGTTGATTATCATTTCGAAATGTACGAATATTTGAATGGGGTTTAAATCTTCTAGAATTGCAAGGAACATTACAGGAAGTTGGAGCACAAGATTAATTTGAAGTCGATTGTTTATTTCTTTAATGAGCATGACCATTTCTTAGGAAACGTAATATAAACACGCAACCACAAGGGAGCAGAGACCATTTATTGACGTGATTGCGTGATTGCGTGATTGCGTGATTGCGTGATTGCCAATCACGATGAATGGAATGGCCCTCACTCGTGGAATTACTCAATTCGGCACTATTGGTCGAGTACTCTCTGTACTGTACTCCATACCGACACGTGTGCATTACAGTCGCATATCTGTACCTTCGCATTACACATGGACGACCTACTGTACACACTAGAGAGTTTTTGAAAACAAAAAATCGCTAAATTGTGGTGGCTATCCGTGACGGACCGCAAGGACAGACTGTCAGCATTACAGTCTGTCACCAGCGGTACTTAGACCCACGAGACGGCGACGACGAGTAAAGACACCCCCATGAGGATTACGATTCATCAGGTTATGGCCCGCTTCGCACCACTACGACACACCATCAACTGAACGCAAACTGGATCGCGCTACACGCACTCGCAGCCGTCGAGCGTCTGCAAACAGACCAGCCGGAAAGACAGGCATCAAAACCCGCCCCCGCCGCCCCGTTTTCGAATCCTCATCAACACCCAACCTCCTGCATCCAGCAACCCTTCTCTACATCCCTCCTCCCAGGCAACAACGATCTCACACGCTCACCACCATGGACATTAGGGAAATCCCCAAGCTCGACCGATCTAACTATGGACCATGGCTCCTGGCCATAAAATCCGCCGCCTACGCACGAGATGCAATCGAACATATCGAGGGCAATCCGCCCACCCCAGACGATGAGCAGGAACAAAAATCCTACCTCCACGCCAAGCACAAACTCTTAGGCAAAATGCTAGCCACAATACCAGCAGACATCATCAACCTCCTTCTTATGCCTGACGAGAACCCCACACCACATGACATCCTCGAGAAGCTCAAAGCCCATCTCGACACAACGAATGCGAGTGACCACCTGTACCTAAAACAACTAGCGGAGCAGTGTCACATCGAACCCGGCCAATCAATCTATGAATACGTTCAACGCCATGAGACCATCAGGGCGCAAATGATCGCGGCTCGCTACCCCGACATCGCCAAACAGATCACAACAGTAGACTACATGATCGAAGGCCTCAAACACAACCCAACAACAGTGGACATCGGACTCCAGCTCCTGTCACTGCAACCCAAAGACGTGAAGGACTTCGTGCACAACTACAATCGAATCGAAACATACCGTCAAGCCATCCAACCAAGCAACCCTTGGCCACAAGCAGCAGCCAGAACACGAACGTACATACCAACCCACGGTCGCCGCCCCCAACCCCGGCAAATACCCCGACCCGCCACAAGACACACAAACCCCTGCCGCCATCACATCTCAAAGGGCGTCAGGTACCCGCAACACACGGACAGCGAATGTCGAGACCAAACACATCCGCAGAATCAAAACACAGCACGTCGGCGACCCGCCGCCAAGGCACGAGCCATCCTCGAACCAGACGACGCGCATTACAGTGAGCTCAACATGGACGACACCGACACCGAACCCGACCACCACCAAGACGAGGCGGGTACGTTCATCCTAGACTCGGCAGCGCATCCCACGCACACATCCCGCCCCCTACCCCACATGAAGCTCCTCGCCCATCCCACAAAATCCCTCACGGCAACTAACCAACCCACGAAATGCACCCACGCCGGCATCATTCAGACATATACCAATAAGGGATACCCCCAACGCCTCAAAGCAGTACACAGCCCGAACATTCCATACACACTAGTATCTGTCCACGCTCTAGCATCACTAAAAATGCACGGTCACCTTTGACACAAATACGGCACACATCAGGGACAGACAAAACAAAGTCATCGGCACGGCTCCATGGAATAAATCACTGCACGCCTATGCCTGGTCACCCCGAAAAAGCACCACCCGACACACAGCCAAAAGTGCACGCACCATGCCAACACGAGCCAACAACTGCACGACGACCAAGCAACCAACGGCCACAGCACAGGCCACCCCACCCCGATCAGCGACAAAATCAGCACACCTATTGCCAAACCGCACACCCACCAAAACCCGATCGCCAAAAATACAACACTTCCACGACCCCAATCCACACACACCCAAACAACTGACAAAAACCACAGCAACCGCGTACGAGTGGCACCTCGCCCTCAACCATGCCCCGCCCAAAGCGCTTCAACGCATGGCACAGGAAGGAACCATCGCCAACCTCCCAGCCAGCCTCCAAGGCGCCCCCCCACCCATCAGCTGTTCCTC